TAAAAGAAAGGACTACCAAACCTTGCCAAGACAAGGTAGGAAGGCCCTTCAGAAAATCCTGCTTCACAGAGGAGTCTGTCAGATATGCTAGGTCTGTAGGCTGAAGATAGATGCTCTAACATTGCAGAGGAACCTTGGGTGACTGTCCAGGCAGCCAGCTGTCTCTGTCATTTCTCACATTTTTTGGAAGTCATTTGTTTGCACTTTCTGCTTACTCAGTTAATATTATTTCCTTCTTGAGTCTCTGATGGAGTTAAAAACTAGTTATATTTTTCCTTGTTAACAAATTTCAGAAAAGAAACTCACTGAAGAGGTGTAAAATGTGTAAGTTTGAAAGACATCAAATGATAGTTTTTGGTAGGTAATACAAGTTAGGATAGAAAATAAATTAGGTATAACATTTTGGACTCACCAAAATAGGATAAATAATGGAGTATTTTCTCTGAATCTGTCAAATGTTAATGGACTGGACATTTAAATGTAATTCTTGACTATATATATTGTATATACTTATTGTACTTATTGCATATCGTTTTTCTTATATTAGTTATAACCTTTTATTATTTTAGACAAAAAAGGGGAAATATGGTAATATTTTGTTTGTACTCTAACAAATAAAATTTGCCTGAAGATCAGAGGACAGAGCCAGCCACTAGATTAAACATAGAAGCCAGGCAGTGGTGGCATACACCTTTAATTCTAGCACTTGGGAGGTAGAGATCTGTCTGGATCTGTGAGTTCAAAGCCACCCTGGACTACACAAGATTAATACAATCTAAAAGAGAAACAGAACCAGGCAGTGGTGGCACACACCTTTAATCCCAGTACTTGGGAGTCACACACCTTTAATCACAGCACTAAGAAGGTTGAGACAGGAGGTCATATGGCTAGGCAGAGAATGGAATATAAGGCAGGAGGAGACAGGAGTTCAGTGCCCTTTTAGCCGAGGACTCAGAGGCATTCAATCTGAGGATTCTTGGAGACAGGACCTTCCCCCTTTAGGCTAAGGAGTTGGCGAAGTGTGAGAAGTGGCTGTGGCTTGTTTCCTCTGATCTTCCAGCATTTACCCCAATATCTGGCTCTGGGTTTTTATTATAAGACCATTTAGGATTCATGCAACAGAGATATCAATGGGTTACTTTTCCTTCTGGGAAAGGGCATCACAGTGGTTAATAGTATAGACACAATAGCAAAGGCAGTTGATGAACACACATACATGTTTGTAATGATAATAAATCCATCCATTGTAAGTCCTCTTAACTGGCCATAAACTCGACAGTGACCTCAGACAAGTTCCTTTGTGTAGTTGAGCTTCCTTTTTCCTTCATCTGTGACATTCCAAAGGTGAACATACTGGTTTTCTGACAATACTTCCAACTTTGAACTGTATGAACATATAAACTAGGTACTTGGTTCTCCTAGTAATCATGGAAAAGACAAAGGGACAGGAAATTGGGGGATGGGGCTAGAGAATAGCAAAAGAAACACATGTATGGTCTGATGAAAGGGAGGATGAAAGGGTATTTGGTTTCTTAGGAAATATTTTTCACTAAACATCACAGACCCTCTTGGAGGGCAACCTTGGGAAGTTATCTGGTATCCCAGCCTAGCCTCTCCTCTCTTGGATTCTGTAGTGATGACCATTCGTCCCACACCACCCCCACCCCCAGGACTGAACAGGCCCTTCGACAAATGTCGGCTCTTGGGGATTATATCATTTGTATCCTTTTTACCTTCACTCCACATCCAGAAAGAATTCAAGCTTATGCCGGGCGGTGGTTTCATGCCTTTAATCCCAGCACTCGGGAGGCAGAGCTAGGTGGATCTCTGTGAGTTTGAGGTCAGCCTGGACTACCAAGTGAGTTCCAGAAAAGGCGCAAAGCTACACAGAGAAACACTGTCTCGAAAAACCAAAAAAAAAAAAAAAAATTTATCTGTACATGATGTGTTCCTGTTTGTCTGTATGTGTACCACATGCATGTAGATCCCACAGAGGCCATCAAGGTGTGTCATGTCCCCTGGAACGTAGTCATATGGGTGCTGGGAAGCTGGGCACCAAACATGGTTCCTCTGCAAGAGCAGTTAGTGTTCTTAACCACTGAGCCATATCTCCAGCTGTTACTTGTTTTTAAATAGAAAATTAGCTGGCATGGTGGAACATGCTTATAATCCCAGAACTGGAGAACATTGAGGTCAGGGTCTGGCCTTAGTTTCAGAGTGATCCACCAATGGACCAATCTCAGTACTTTCCCTCCCTTTTTCCCCTCCCCCTTAATTAGCAGTGAGAAAATATAATCCCAAACTGTGTGCCTTTCTTTTGGTATGCAGAGTTAAAAAGCACCATATAGTTATTTGCTACAAATGTTCTCAGTTTGAAAGAACTTGAGGGTTAAGGATATAGTTCAGTTGATAAAATATAACCGGGGCTTCCCCATTTGTAGCTAGTAGCTGCGGAAATGCTGTTCAGTGCCTGTTCCTCACCCAGACTTCCTTTCTCAGTCACTGGCACTGCTGACTTCTCAGACTTTGACACAATTCTTAACTTACTTCTGCCCTGTCTGCCATTGAGCTCTGTTGATTCTCCCCTAAACAGATCCTAAATCCTTTATTGCCTACATCCTTGGCCATGCCTAGGCTATTGCTAAAACATTTTTCTTGACTTCCCCCTGCTCTGTTTTTGTATTCCCATCCCCAGCTTTACAGGTACCACAGGATGCTCCAGAACCAGAGTCACCCATTTTACCTTTGAGCTGGTCTAATGTATGTACTACCCCTGGGATATTATTGTTGGTGTTGGAATATATCCCACTCCAGGAACACTATGGTCAGAAGTTGGAATCTTTTTTGTATAGTATGTTATGTTGTTAATATACTTAAGCTCCTTTGTTCCTGTTTGCATGCATTATAATAGCATAGTTCTGTTACTTTTTGTTTTATTTTTAGTTATGTTCATATTTACATGATTCGTTAGACACAATTATATTCCAAGAAGTGTTTAGCAAGGGCTCTTTCTTACCTACCCTAGACTAGTCTACAATCCTGCACACCAGATCCATATGGTAATCATGTCTTCAGTTTGTTCTTTTACTTCAAAAGTCATGAAACTCATCCTTCCTAACTACACAGCCTTACAGTATGTAAGCATCCCATGGTTTATTCACCAGGTCTCCTTGGTGATGAGGACTGGACAGGCCTGCAGTCTTAGCTAGTGAAAATAAAGTTTTAGTGAAAATTGTCATGCCTGTGTTGTTAGGCATTTCCAGAGGTATCTCCTCAGGGTACATTTCTAGAAAGGTGTTCCTTTGCTCATGTGGCTTGTATTTGATCTTGTGGTGGTTAACATTTCAGAATACAAGTGAGAATTCTAAAGAAGCCAACTTATCCTGTTAGTCTAGTGGTTTTCTCAAACTCAAGGAATGTTCAGAATCAGGGGAGCAACCCTGGTGTTCAAAAGGAACCTTTGTGGAGTTACATGCAAGTGATAAGTACCTGCTGTATACCACTTTGTCCTTTTTCTTGCCAGCTCTGCTAGTGAGTACCCCTACTTTCCTCTGTCACTGGGAGCTTCCATATAAGCCAGTCCTGAAGCACCACAATGCTTCCTGATGCACCTCACAGCCCATGGGCTTACTTTCCAATTCTCCTAGTCTTAGACCAATAGGCAGCTGCTACTTCTTTCCAAACCTTCCATAGTCTGACCTGTAGCTCAGAGGTGCAAGCAGTGCAATGTGGCTAGATTCTGTAGTCATAGGGATACTCACTGTGTCTCCCTACAATGGTCACTAGCGCATCAGAGACAGGCTTTGAACCCTATAGTACATGAAGGGACCCCACCAAGAAAAACCAAAACCTGTAGAAGGAACTCCCTCTGTCCACAGGCAGGTGTCCTGTCCTGGAATATGGCTGTTGCCATATTTCATAGACTGTTCTATTATTACAAACCTTTCTCTTTCCTCTGTTTCTGCTGAGGATAAAGTGATTGCTTGCTTGCTTGTTTGCTTGCTTGTTTGCTTGTTTTGGGTAAGGAATATCTTGTGGTAAAGACCCTTGTGACCCAGGATCCTTTTTTTTTTTCTAATACTGGAACCCTAGGCAGCAGTTGCTGTTTGCCTGAATTAGCAATACAGTGCCTTGGGACCTTTTTGTCCATAATTCTCATAGAAAGTATGCCTCTGGGGATGAGATTAGCTACTATTGGGATGAAGAAACTGAAGCGTAGACTGCTGAAATCACTTGCTAGGGTCCTTGTTTTGAGAATGGCAAAGTCGGGAAGCTGGAGCAATGGCCTAGAAGTTAAGAGCACTGGCTGTTCTTCCCAAGGACCTAGATTCAATTCCCAGCACCCACCTGGTGGATCACAACTATCTGTAACTTTACTCCCAGGGGACCCAATTCCCTCTTTTGGCCTCCACAGGCATTTGGAACTCATGTGGTACACAGACATACATGCAGACAAAATACACAATAAATAAAAGAAAATGACAAAGTCAGAATTGGAGGTCAGGTTGGCCAATTCCAATTTTGTATGTTCTTTTCATGACTGTACTGTATATCTCCTTCCAGGGGGTTGGAGCTCCTAAAAAAGTTGTGGTAGGCAGTTTCCTTTCTAGCAATGGAGAGCCTTTTGTCATGCGACAAGCCCAGGGGCCATCAGATGCAACTTATAAACTGACCTCTGCTAGTGATATGTTGAGAAGCCAACCCTACAGTGTTTAAATCCAAGAGTAAAACATATGCCACTTTCACGGCAATAGAACTAGGGTTTGGAGTAGTATGATAAAAGTCAAGTGCATTTGACCAACGGTACCAGCAACCCAGAGCCGCTAAAGAAACCTTTGGGCCTCAGCTTGGCCTAAGGATGCGTCGTCCCAGGGAAGTTACCAAGATCTGATTATGCAGCAGCTAGGTGTCTCATGTATGGCACCCAAGCTTGCCTGTGCTCACTACTCTGCATGCAACTGTGTTCTCTGTGATACTTACATATTTGTTTAATACTTCAGGGAGGAAAAGTCAGAAGACCAGGATCTCCAGGGCCTCAAAGACAAGCCCCTGAAGTTTAAGAAGGTGAAGAAAGACAAGAAGGAAGACAAAGAGGGCAAACATGAGCCACTACAGCCTTCAGCCCACCATTCTGCCGAGCCGGCAGAGGCAGGCAAAGCAGAGACGTCAGAAAGCTCAGGCTCTGCCCCAGCAGTGCCAGAAGCCTCTGCTTCCCCGAAACAGCGGCGTTCTATCATTCGTGACCGGGGACCCATGTATGATGACCCCACCTTGCCTGAAGGTTGGACACGAAAGCTTAAGCAAAGGAAGTCTGGCCGCTCTGCTGGAAAGTATGATGTATATTTGATCAAGTAAGTAAGAGCAAGTCCTGTGTCTATAGATCAGGAAAGGCCTGATGGGTGGGAGAGCTAGATAAAAGGATCCATTGAAACTGTAGCTCTGGGGAAATATATCTGCCACCTGTAGGATGCTTAAAAAATAACATCAACACTAGATACATTCAGAAAGTACTACAGGGGTCCCTACCCTGTTGCTCTGCTTCAGAGTAGTGAGTCTTTTACCTATGCCACATGACAAGTTCTTTCTATTTGCCTCTAAATCAGTGTTAGGAAATGTTTGCTGTTTAACGGGGCCTCTGGAAAGGGACACAAACAGATTTTGTGTGCCTTTCCTACTGCTCCTTGTGCATTTGTCCAGCTTTGGACTGACCTTAGTGTTTTCTGTTAAAGCAGAATAACTTCCAGAGCCAGAGGTTTAGAGGAGCAGCTAAGTATATCAGCTCATCCCAGAAAGGCTAGCAATTTTCCCAGTATTTATGGGTAGTTTTATTTAATCTTCAACTCTAAGAAGGGTGAGGAAAGCTTTATTGCACTGGAATGGATTCCCAAAGAGGCTGGATACCATGCCTTGGTTTAGATGCAGGAATGTTTTGATGGTAGATTAGGTCTAGGCACCAACCAACAGAATTGGCCCAGCCCAATGGTCCTCTAGTACTAGGCCTGACCCCTTTGGTTTCTGGATTGTGGAGAAGCCAAGGAGTACAGAGGAGTGGACTTAGAGGTAGACAGGTCCTCTGAGGCTTTCAGACCCAGCTGTTCTGGCTCCTGAGCAAGCTGTATAGGTACCCACTATCCCTGGTAATATGATTTCTACCCATGCATCAGTGCATTGCATCTGGCCTGGCTGTGCTCTTCAGTTTTAGGTCATTGCTGTTCTTCTTCAGTTTGACCCTTGTTCACTTACAATGTCTTATAAGAAAGCTTATCAGTACCATCTCCTCTACCTCAGTCTCTAAGTTGTCATAAAAAGCTTCTGACATTCCTTTGTATCTCTCTGTTTGTCTCCACAGTCCCCAGGGAAAAGCCTTTCGCTCTAAAGTGGAATTGATTGCATACTTTGAGAAGGTAGGCGACACCTCCTTGGACCCTAATGATTTTGACTTCACGGTAACTGGGAGAGGGAGCCCCTCCCGGAGAGAGCAGAAACCACCTAAGAAGCCCAAATCTCCCAAAGCTCCAGGAACTGGCAGGGGTCGGGGACGCCCCAAAGGGAGCGGCACTGGGAGACCCAAGGCAGCAGCATCAGAAGGTGTTCAAGTGAAAAGGGTCCTAGAGAAGAGCCCTGGGAAACTTCTCGTCAAGATGCCTTTCCAAGCATCACCTGGGGGCAAGGGTGAAGGAGGTGGGGCTACCACTTCTGCCCAGGTCATGGTGATTAAACGCCCTGGCAGAAAGCGAAAAGCTGAAGCTGACCCCCAGGCCATTCCTAAGAAACGGGGCAGAAAGCCTGGGAGTGTGGTGGCAGCTGCTACCACAGAGGCCAAAAAGAAAGCCGTGAAAGAGTCTTCTATACGGTCTGTGCATGAGACCGTGCTCCCCATCAAGAAGCGCAAAACTCGGGAGACAGTCAGCATTGAAGTCAAGGAAGTGGTAAAGCCCCTGCTGGTGTCCACCCTTGGTGAGAAGAGTGGGAAGGGACTGAAGACCTGCAAGAGCCCTGGCCGAAAAAGCAAGGAGAGCAGCCCCAAGGGGCGCAGCAGCAGCAGCAGCGCCTCCTCACCCCCTAAGAAGGAGCATCATCATCACCACCACCATTCAGAGTCCCCAAAGGCCCCCATGCCACTGCTCCCACCCCCACCCCCACCCCCACCTGAGCCTGAGAGCTCTGAGGACCCCATCAGCCCCCCTGAGCCCCAGGACTTGAGTAGCAGCATCTGCAAAGAGGAGAAGATGCCCCGAGGAGGCTCGCTGGAGAGCGATGGCTGCCCCAAGGAGCCAGCTAAGACTCAGCCCATGGTCTCAGCAACCACCGCCACAGTTGCAGAAAAGTACAAACACCGAGGGGAGGGAGAGCGCAAAGACATTGTTTCATCCTCCATGCCAAGGCCAAACAGAGAGGAACCTGTGGACAGCCGGACGCCCGTGACCGAGAGAGTTAGCTGACTTTACACAGAGTGGATTGCAAAGCAACCCAACAAGAATAAAGGCAGCTGTTGTCTCTTCTCCTTATGGGTAGGGCTCTGACAAAGCTTCCCGATTAACTGAAATAAAAAATATTTTTTTTTCTTTCAGTAAACTTAGAGTTTCGTGGCTTCAGGGTGGGAGTAGTTGGAGCATTGGGATGTTTTTCTTACCGACAAGCACAGTCAGGTTGAAGACCTAACCAGGGCCAGAAGTAGCTTTGCACTTTTCTAAACTAGGCTCCTTCAACAAGGCTTGCTGCAGATACTACTGACCAGACAAGCTGTTGACCAGGCACCCCCAACACCCCCCCCCAGTGTGCTTATTAGAGACAGCAGTTGAGAGGACACTCCCATTTTTGGTGCCATTGGTGCCCTGTCCATAGCTTCCCTGACTCTTCCACCATCCCATCTCCCAATCTGAGGGGCCGGGAGGTGTGAGGCAGGAAAAACCATTGGATTCTTTAGAGAAGACTGAGGTGGCCAGTAATTGTGGCCCAGTGATTAGAACTGTGGTGGCACAAGTCTGGCCCCACACCCACCCCAATCCAAAACTGACAAGAATATTTTGAAAAACAGGAAAGTGGTACCTGTCTGATCCAGCTCTGGCATAGCTAGAAGCGAGCCCTGAACTGCTGGATTATAGACTGGCCTGAACCACAGAATAGGATAGCCCAGGGTGAAGTGTCATCACCTGTTCACAAGGCATGCTCCCCTAGAGAATAATGCTAAAGAGGTGCCATGGAGACAGCAGGACAAGGCACAGGCAGGGTCAAGCCAAGCCTAGTGCCACAGAACAAGAGAGCAGTCTGTGACTAGTGGTTAGGAATTTAGTGGATGGGACAAGGGGCAAAGGGGAAGAAAAAAATATTCTTCCAATTACTTTCCAGTTCTCCTTTAGGGACAGCTTAGAATTATTTGCACTATTGAGTGAGTCTTCATGTTCCCACTTCAAAACAAACAGATGCTCTGAAAGTAAACTGGCTTGAAATGGTGATACTTTGTCCCACAAGCCACCAGACATGGCAGTGTTCAGAACTACCTGGATCTGTATATACCTGCGCTTGTTTTAAAGTGGGCTCAGCACATAGGGTTCCCACGAAGCTCCGAAACTCTAAGTGTTTGCTGCAATTTTATAAGGACTTCCTGATTGCTTTCTCTTTTGTCTTTCCATTTCTGCCTTCCTTCATTTCATGCTTTCATTTCTTCCCCATCCTCCTTTCCCTAGCTCCTAGTTGTCTCTTCTGTTCCAGACAACTGCAGTGCCCAACCACATGCTTACCTGACAGCATTCAACCACAGTCCTAGGATTCTCCCTGCCCTTTGACTTCTCATTGCCAGTGCCAGCTATCATGTTTAACCCTGAGCAAGTGCTGGGCTCTGCTGAGTCCTCCCTAGCCTCTTTGAAGAACAAGAGGGCAGTAAGCCCTTACTCCCTTAGATAGTCCCCTCTTCCTTGCTAAGAAAAAAGTCAAAAGGCTTTTCAGATCCTAAACAATGAGCCTTTTCACCTTCTGCTCTAGAAAAATGGGCTGGAGAAACTGGGCCACATGTGGTAGCTGAAAGAGATATAGAGGCCCCTGTGTTCTGCCAGGATCACTGAGTGGCCCAAGAGGGCCACCATGCCCACTACCCTTGACCCCACTCAGAAGTCTGATGTCAAGCATGGTGTGGCAGGGCACCTGTCAGGACAGATGCAGATTTGAGCAGGGAGTGACACCAGGGCCCCTTGCTCTTCTTCTGACAAGTCTTTTTCTAGTGGAATGCTTTCCCTTTTGCTCACTGGGGACTGGGTGGGGCCAGCACACCCCATATTTCAATCTCTGCTCCATAAGTGTAATGGTGAATTTTACAGGCTTGGCTTTGCTATGGGGTTTTAATTGGTCAATTTTTATTTGGGATCCCAAAGTTTTAGCCTCTGTTCAGGAAGTCCTTATCTAGCTGCATATCTTCATCATATTGGTATATCCTTTTCTGTGTTTACAGAGATGTCTCATATCTAAATCTGTCCAACTGAGGAGTACCTTATCAAAGTAGCAAATGAGACAGCAGTCTTATGCTTCCAGAAACACCCACAGGCACGTCCCATGTGAACTGCTGCCATGAACTGTCAAGTGTGTGTTGTCTTGTGTATTTTCATTACTGTTCCCTAAGCTTCCTTATTGCAGTGTAATCATGGAAGAGTGAAACATCATAGAAATCATTTAGCACTTCCTTGCCAGTCTTTAGTGATCAGGAACCATAGTTGACAGTTCTAATTGATAGCTTAAGATAAAACCATGTTTGTCTCTTCTGGAATGGCTAGAACTAAGTGAGAGATTTTTGCCCCATTCGGATTGCAGAGTCATAGTTGGGCTTTCTAGCATATTTGTATCCATTTCCTTGTGCTACAAATGCAGACCCTGCAACCAGCTTCCCGTCAAGCACTCATTTTGCCTGCTCTGCTGTTGATCCTCAGCCATGGTTCTGATTCTTCCCCAGGAAGGGAAGAGGTCTCAGAAGAGGGACTATGGAAGGTCCAGGATGTATCCTTCTTAACTCCTGCTTCCTCCAAGGACAAAAGGCCCACCTCACCCCACCCCTGCAGTGGCCTCACACTCCCCAAGGATACCTTTCTGTACCCTCACAGCACCTAGCCAGATTGACATCAAGTTGTTTTATTGTGGTCTGTTTGGGGGTTTGCCTGTTATACTTAATTAGTCCAATGAAATGTGACTCCTAGGCTAAGGATCCCTCATCCTTGGAAGATAACCTAGGCTGATTAGACATTCACAGTTGGGATTGCAGCACTTTGGGTGCCATTTTCTTTAATTTGAGCCCCATCTGCAGCCTCCTCACTCCCCAGCTTTCCCTTAGAGCTGGTTTCAAAACTGCAGGTGGTGGTGCCTGCAGCTTCTGAGGGTTTTTTGTTTTGTTTTGTTTTGCTTCCTGCTTTTTTTTCCCCATCCCCTCATCCCCAAATAAGGACATCATGAGTCAGTGTCCTTTAAGCAGGCAGCTTTGATTGGGTTTTGCCCTGGCAGCCAGGGACTCTGTATAGGCTCTCAGGCTGCCCCTGCCTTGCAGTCAGGTTGACAGGAGGTTGGAGGGAAAAGCCTTAAGCCATGGGATTCTTACCAGCTGTGTCTGGCTCAGACCTGGAATGTGACCTTGATTTTGTTGTATTTGAACATTGTAAAGATTGGGTGGCATCTTTCACTGAATATATGAAGAATACAAGAACTGACCTATAGCTTTCAGATACCTGAGACTAGGTCATTAAGGTCACATCCAGTCTTTCCTACCCTGCTCTAGTTGTTAGTTACTACCTCTCCCAGATAGATTGGTGTATATTCTCCAACTATGTTCATCCTGGCCCAGTCCTGCCCATTCTTGGGTCTGTCTTAACCAGTGGAACTGCTGCTCTTCAAAGTGCAGTGAGTTGAGAACTCTTGGTCACAGCCAGACTCTAGTACAGCTCCCTTCTGCTGGTGTTGTATTCCCATATCAAAAGGCACAGGGGAGATCTAGAAGTACCACCTCCCCCAGTCCATCAGTGCCAAACTAGCCTGTGATCCCAGCATGGGTACAGAGAACTCTGTTCAGTGCTGTCACAACAGACTAGAGGCCACAAACTTTGGAAATGGGAACCAGAGCAGCCCAAATTGTTGTTGCTTCACCCAGCTTGCTCTTGCTGTGACAATGATAAAAGAGGGCAATAACCAGAAACTGACTGCCAAGTTTGGTAGGGAAAGGAGTTTCCATAGCTGACAGGACCTCTGAATTTTAAATAAATTGTAATAAGTGGCTCAAGCCCACCCAAGAAAGAACAAAAGGGTTGGAACTGACCAGATGAGACCAGCTAGAGTTCATGCAGCCCAAGTGGACTCCAGCTGCCTGAGCTCTACAGCACTTCTCTAACTACAGAGAACATTCCAGCCAGGCTCTCTGGGCTAAGGAGAGATCACAGGTGCCAGTTCTTCAAGAAGACCTTTGTGCATCAGTTCATAACCTGTATCTTTGTCCCACAATGTTTGCTGATTTGGGTTCACACTACAGATTCTAGGACGGATGGCCAAGACTCAGAGAAAAAAGTTTCTAGAGCCCCTGCGGACCATGGCATAGAAAAGTCCCAAGTTGAAGGGGGCTAGGGCAGATGCATCAATGCCCCATGCCTGGACCAAGCCCTCTGCTCCATCCATATCCTCTTCTGGCTCTTTCTTCCTGCTCTCTGCTTGAGTGAACCAGCCCAACTCTGAAGAGATTTGTTGATTCTCTCCATTTTGGATGTTTTTTAGGTACTATATCAATCTTTAAAAAAGGCTTAGTCTAATTGTTATAAATCGCTAGGATACTGCCTCTCCCAGGGTCTAAAATTACATGCTAAAGGGGAAAATTTGAGCTGAAACCAGTTCTCAACAATTTAGAAGGAAAACCTTTAGAACATTTGGCAATAATAATAATAATAATAATACATTTCGATGTTTCTGAATAAGAGGAGGCTTTTGCAAAAAAAAAAAAGTGTTGATCTAAAAATACTTAGTTCTTGGCCTGAGATATCTGGTGAGTGATCTGGGCAAAGGGAACTCCAGGCTAAAGCTTCCTACATCTGAGGAGGTGGAAGTAGGAGACTCTTGCGATCGAGGCTTTTTATTATTGGAAAGCCTCTTTGGGTAGCTGACCCCAAGACACCACTTCTGACCTTGTCCTTTGGTGGTGTGGAGGTTAGTGGCCTGCCAGATGCCAAAGCTGCATGAGACCAGCTCTTGGTGCATCAAGTAAAACACTCATCAGTGACCCAGAAGGCCCATCACAAAGTGTCTGCTCTCTTCTCATCTTAACTGAGCCTGTCCCAGCACTACTGCATAAACTAGGGAGGGTCTTCTGCCTAAAGAGCATCCCTCCCTGGGGCCTCCTATCTTTTGCAATCTGCCTACCCCACCCTCAGGATCTTGGCACAGATGAAATGGCTGTGTGGCAAGTACTTTGGCATGCCCTCCTAAACTTACCCAGTGCCTCTCCCTGCCTCTTTAAGCCAGCCTGCCTGCCTACTGGGGAGGCATGAGAGCCTATAGAGTGGAGAAGGGAGGGCAAGCAGGCAGGCAGTAGAAAGGCTCTAGGAGGAAGGAAGGGGCCTTGTACAGGCCCCCAGGCTTTGTACAAGCAGGGCTCAGCCCCTCATGGAACTAAGTGTCATCTTTTAGTTTAAGAACATTTGGGCAACTTGCAAATGACGTTTGCTCCTTGCTCTCCCCTCTCACCTTTTATCAGGTCCTGCTTAACACTGAGAGAAAATGCGGTGAAAAGGCAGAGGTTTGGCTCCTGCCCACTGATAGGCTCCTCTCCCTGCAGTATTTGTGTGTCAAGTGGCAAAGCTGTTCTTCCTGGTGACCCTGATTATATCCAGTAACTTATAGACTATATGCATAGGTCTGCTTTGTCTTTTCTATTCCAGGCTTTTGACTTACTTTTCAGTTTTGCTTTTAGCTTTCCTATTCTTTTTATTTTATGCACCAACTAGACACACAAAGCAGTTGAATATATATATATATACATATATATATGTGTGTGTGTGTGTGTGTATATATGTATATGTATATTGCACAATTATAAACTCATTTTGCTTGTGGCGCCACACACACAAGAAAAGACCTTTTAAAATTATACCTATTGCTTAATTACAATATTTCTGATAACCATAGAGTAGGACAAGAGAAAAAAAAGACATCTGTCTGCTGGTCACTTCTTCAGTCCAAGCAGACCTGTGATCTTTCCTCGCTTCTTTCAAAGGCTTCCCTGTGCTAAGTGAAGGAAGCTCCAGGCTGCACCCAGGTTTTGTACTTTGTTTCTCTGCTGTGAAAGGGGCCCCATGATTCTGGGTGCAGGATAGTTCATTTCAGCATTGGGGGAGGGGGTAGGCGCACTCCCTATACCTGCTGAAGTCCAGAACTTAGTGAGCACAGCCCTGTCCCCACCTCTAGGAGTGGGGAGCTGGCATGCATGGGGTGGCTCAACTCCCTCTACCCTTTCCTTGGCCAAGGAGAGCCTGTGTCTAGTAAGTCTGGCAGGCTTCCCTCAATTAGCAGGGCTTGGAGCATTTCAAAACCCTCCTCACTTTGCTGAGTCCAGGAGCTGGAGAGGAGATAGGAGGCTTGACCTGTCTCCAAACCTTTTAGCTGTACTAGGTAGAATGCCAGAGACCCCAGAATCACATCCAACAGTCCAGTGGGTCTCCTTCAGAAAGTAGTGAAGACTCCAGAAACATCCCTCTCTTCTCCCTGCTCCCATGAGTAACTGCATTTGCTTCTATAATTCTTGATGAGCAATATCTGCTAGAAAGTTTAGCCGTAACAGTTCTTTTTGCAAAAGGATCATTCCTAAGTAATTAAAAACACATGCCCTCCCCCCCAAAAAAAAATAAATCCAGAACCTTGTTCTTTCAAAGCAGAGAGCATTATAATCACCAAGGCCAAAATCTGTCCTACACCTCCACCTCACCCCCTCATCATTGCTTCTTCTGAAGCCAAAATATAGCAGAGATATTTGTAGGCCCTTTGGGTGGCTGGGCTACCCTTGTGCCGCTTGGAAGATGGACTGGAGAAACCTCTGAGACCCTATCCTAGGGCCTTGCTTTAATGAGCAATCAGTATTAGGAGAGCATCACAACATTATTCCCCAGTCAGCATGGGATGGAGGCAGAAGGGGCCAGAGGGTTGTTACCACTGATACTTGGCCACTGACAGGTGGGTGACCATGTGTGTCCATATGAGTGCTTTATGGCTGATGTGAGATCAGCACCCAAGTTAGCTTCACCTGGTGACCTCTAGCCCTGCCTGGATGGAGCAGGCCATCCGGTTCAATGTTTCTGGGCAGCTTGGACATTGGAGTGCAAAAGGCTTGCAGAACTTGAAGCCTGCTCCTTACCTTGCTACCATGGCCTCCTTTTCCATTTGATTTTTTACTGCTTCAATCAATAACAGCCGCTCCAGAGTCAGTAGTTGATGAATATATGACCAAATATCACCAGGACTGTTACTCAATGTGTGCCGAGCCCTTTCTTTGTGCTGGGCTCCCTGTGTACCTGGACACTGTAACGTGTGCTGTGTTTGCTCTCCTTCCTCTTCCTTGCCCTTTTCTTGTCTTTCTGGGGTTTTTCTGTTTGGGTTTGGTTTGGTTTTATTCTTCCTTTTGTGTTCCAAACATAAGGTTCTCTCTAATGGTCCTCTTTAACTGTGGTGTTGAGGCTTCTGTTTGTGTAATTTTTGGTGGGTGAAAGGAACTTTGCTAAGTAAATCTCTTCTGTGTTTGAACTGAAGTCTGTATTGTAACTATGTTTAAAGTAATTGTTCCAGAGACAAATGCTTCTAGACACCTTTTCGTAACAAACAAAGCATTTGAAGGGAGGGAATTGGTGACTAAGACAAGAGGGGCAATCTGAAGAGATGACCCCTGCCCAGATCAGCCAGAAGCCACCAAGAAGTTAAGCACTGGATTCCCATTCCAAGTCAAGCGACTGAAGTTAATGTGTTGCCATTTTCAAAGTCAGAACAAAACCAGATTTTGTTCCACTTGGTTGATTTTTTGCTTCCCCTTCCCAGATTATTACTACTATTGTTAATTTAAAAAAAGACAAGGTCAGCTCCTTCCAGGAGTGCCAGGAGGGGAGGGGATGTAAGAGCAGAGCTGAGTTCACTGAGTAGGGAAAGGCTGGGCAGGAGGATGCCCCACTGAAGAAACAGGTTAGGGAGGAGACAAAAAATGGATTATCCACTCTCTGTCTGAAATAGCTGTTCCTGGATAAGCCGAGACAGTGGGCATTATTGTCTCCAAAGCATGTTTCAGGGGGACATGACTAGTCAGGACACTTCTGTCACACCCCATGCTGTCCCCTAGTGCATAGTGTTAATCTGATATCTTGGCTCCCCACCATACCTGGGGAATAAAATAATGGTAGAGGGTTCTCTCTTTCAGTGTCATCTGATTCCCAAAAAAATCTGGGTGTAAGATACCACCTTCTCTTTCCATGACAAACATCTTCAGTAAAGCCGTTATCCTCGTTACAGATTGTTCCAGGCTCATAGAAGAGGAACAGACCTGTGTTCCTTTAGAGACTCTTATGAAGATAGTGCTACCTGTAGTGACCAGTTGGCCATGGCATTTAGTAGCTGGAAGAACTAACAGGGTACATGCACCCCCTAAATCCATGCTACGCTCCCCTCTGCCAGCCTGAAGGGCAAGATCTGTAGGACAGTGCAGCCAATGACAGGCCACCCTGTATTGGAAGATGTTGGCATCAGCTCAAAAAGCCTATCTGAGGTTGGGAGCAGGCACACAAGGCACAGAGAGATCCAGGACAGACATAGCTGGAGGGGTCAGTCTTGAAAAGCCCTCTGTCGCATTCACCTTCAGTTTTTGTGTTTTGGGACAATTACTTTAGAAAATAAGTAGGTCGTTTTAAAAACAAAATATTGATTGCTTTTTTGTAGTGTTCAAAAAAAAAGGTTCTTTGTGTATAGCCAAATGACTGAAAGCACTGATATATTTAAAAACAAAAGGCAATTTATTAAGGAAATTTGTACCATTTCAGTAAACCTGTCTGAATGTACCTGTATACGTTTCAAAAACACCCCCCACTGAACCCCTGTAACCTATTTATTATATAAAGAGTTTGCCTTATAAATTTACATAAAAATGTCCGTTTGTGTCTTTTGTTGTAAAATCAAGTGGTTTTTCATAAGGTTCTTTTACTATTTGAAAAGATGGGCAGCACGTGGTTTTATTTTATTTTTGTAAGTTTTTTAATACATGTGAAAGCAAAGAATACTCAGCATGCCTTTCTAAGTGATGCGTTTGCACCTTTTGTTGGGAAGTACTGTATCCTGTGCTGTTAGCATTCTCGATAAATCTCTCTGTGAAAGTGACTCAAGGTCTGGGCTTTCATTATAAGTCAGCAGTCCCTTCCAGCTCACCTGATGGTGTGTTTGATCCAGCTGTCCCTGAACCCCAATAGCCTCTCTCAGGATTGGAGTGTGGGGGAAGGGAAGCCTGACTTCATATGCTGGCCTCCCTGGCATCCTCCTCAGTTTGCTGTCAGTGCTTTCCAGGCACACTGCACCAGAGCACAACTTCTGACCAGTTGTGGCAGTGGCAGCTAGCAGGTCCTGGTGTGCCACAGTGTTTTTTTTTTTTTTTTAACACCTTTCTCCTCAACTCTAACTCCTGTGGCCAATAGCAGCTAAGACCTTCTGCATGACTTCTGTGAGTGGCTAACTTGCCTTCCTGACCAGGCTAGGGCATGCTGAGGAACTGCCCTAAGGGATTCCTTGTGTCACTGGCTTCCTATAAGAATATGAACCTTCTGCAGTTGCCCACTCATTATATCTGTCCCCTTAGGCTGATCTGGGCTTGAGGAGAGGATAATGGTTTGTCACATGCAATTGTGGGCACACCTACTAAAAGCTACCATGAAGTCCTGGCCTTGAATGTTAAATGAAAGGGTTGAAGATTCAACATGCAGATATGGAACATCTACTGTGTGCCAGGCCTATACCAGACACTGATAGTCCCCAGTACATAAAAAGGACCAAATCCCTGCCCCTAGAGCTTAACATATGCACACAATAATTTTGAGTACTGAATTTGGTGCATCTCGATAATGACTGACCCATGAGAAACCACTGGAGGCTCAGCATATGGTTGACCTCTTGAGTTGTTTGTTTGTTTGGCAGGGTCCAACTTGTAGTCTAGGCTGACCTGGATCGAGTGTGATGGGTGATCTGCTCCAGCCTCCCAAATGTTGGAATTACAGGTGTGAGGCACCATGCCCAGCTTTGTTTTATTTATGAGAGGGTCTCACTGTGTGGCTCTGGCTGGCCTGGAACCAAGCTGGCCTTGAATTACAGGAATGCACCACAACACCTAGTTTGACCTCATCTTGAGAGTGGCCAAAATGGCTGTGGTTTCAGAGAAGAGGCCAGAGTGGGAGCCAGCCATGGGCCTTAGGTAGACCTTTTTGGAAACATACTCTAAGTTTCTAAGAGGACAGGCTACTGAGAGGGAACTCTTACCAGTTAGGATTGATATGACAAGAGAGTCTGTTAGAGAAACTGGTCAGAAGAAAGCTGTTGCTTTACAAACATGCTTTCAGCTGGAGAAACAAGGAAGGCCAAGTTGCTGCCTATGGAAAAGTTCAGAGGTATAGAACTCCAGCAAGCTCAAGATGTGCCCAAGAGAAGAGTTACGTGGGGTTTAGGAAGCTTTCCCCACAGCTTTTTATGCTCAATCTTGTCAGGAAGGGCTATAGCAGGGGTATATGCAAACTCAACTTCAGAGACAGAATAAGTGCTTTTTAGAAAATCTAACTAAAGAGGGTTTTTTTTTGGGGGGGGGGCGGGGGAGTGGTCATGGTCTTGTATCCCTGGCTGACCTGGAACTCACTATTTAGACCAAGCCTCAAATTCACAGAGATCCACCTGCCATTGTTTCCAAGTGCTGGGATTGAAGGTGTGTACCACCAAGCCCAACATCAAGGAGTTCTTAATGGCTTAAGGCTGTTGTATGTAAGTTCAGGTGGGTGGGCAGAGGCTGGCTATGCCATCTTCCAAACAGCCATAAAGAGCTGGGACTCTATAGGAGGGCTATGGAACTTTGGGAAGGTCTTCTATAAGAAAGTGATTTGGTGATTTGTGCCCAAGAAAGACCACATGAGCAGTGAGCCCTATCAGAGCCATAAAGTTCATGCAGGTAAGTGGTATTGGCTAATGCTAAGAGAAGTGGACTCATGGGAAGAGGACTTCAGAGAGTAAAGTGAGACCATGGGAAAGTAGTGTGCACTGAGGTGTAGGCCATAGAGTGACTAAAAAAGCCAAAGAAATCCCTGAATGGAGAACATTAGAGGAGTGGGCAAGAGACACTCCTGTGGCAAAACGGTCACAACAGGTGGTGTCACTGTCCACTGCTCTAGAAAAGAGTAGGGGAAGCTGCTAGACTTCTAGTGTCCTCATGAGAAGTGCAAACTAAGCCAAAAGTGTGACAGAAAAAGGAAAGAGATGGCAAGAGCTGGACATTATGCACATGGGGACAGAGCAAGGCCCTGTTAAGAGACATAAATGTGTTGGCTGGCGAGCTAGTGAGGAGCCTGCACAAGCAGATACTGTGAAGATCTAACACTTGCCCAGCTGCAGGCACGTTCCTGGAGGCGGGGATGGGGGTGGAAGGGTGGGATCTAGCACACAGGCGGTGACTGTGACGTGGTGTGCGATCTTCAGACCATTCTCTGACCAGATGACTAGAGTGAGCCAGAGGGCCGTTTTGTGACCCACATTTGACCGTGTCCCACCAACATTTCAGCTGACTCTCCACTGCCCCCCCCCAAATAAAGCCAAAGGGAGCCTTTCCGTGACTTTCACCAGGCTTGATATAAATTGCCTTTGTAGAACATCATATGTTTCCTGTGCCCTTTGTCTCCACAACTGGAAGTCGTTCTTCATCCTGCTCAGCCCTATTCAGACGGTTCCCACTGCTGGAAGCCCACCCTTGTGTAGGACCACAGTCCTCGGTTCTTTCGCGGGGGACGCCCTTCTGCCTAGCATAGACCCTTTCCCGGGTCGAGGGCGGCGCGGGACGCCCCCGTGTGGCCGAAGGCCGCTGAGGGCAAGATGGCGGCGGTCCCGAGCGCCGCCTCTTCCGCCCTGCTGGGCGTCGCACGAGGCCGGCTTGAAGGGGAAGTGAGTCAGTGTCCGCGGACCCGGCCGGCTTAGGCCCGCGCCCGCCGAGGCCCCAAGAGGCCCCGGCCCGGCGGCGGCGGCGGCAGCCATGGCCGGGGGGCCGGGCCCCGGGGAGCCTGTGGTTCCCGGCGCCCAGCACTTCTTGTACGAGGTGCCACCCTGGGTTATGTGCCGCTTCTACAAAGTGATGGACGCCCTGGAGCCCGCCGACTGGTGCCAGTTCGGTGGGTGACGGCAGGCCGGCGTGGGGCAGGGGATCCGGGCTTCTGGCGCTAGAGCCTGACGTTCCCCCGCCCCGCAGCGGCCTTGATTGTGCGCGACCAGACAGAGCTGCGGCTGTGCGAGCGCGCCGAGCAGCGCACAGCTAGCGTCCTGTGGCCCTGGATCAACCGCAACGCGCGCGTGGCTGACCTCGTTCACATCCTCACGCACCTGCAGCTGCTGCGTGCGCGGGACATCATCACAGCCTGTGAGCGAGCGTGGCCCCAGGGACATTAGGGATGGGAACTCACGGGAGGTGACGGGTACAGAGCCGCCCGAGACAAGAAATCATATGGGAACCCCTCCCTACACAGAGAGAGAGAGAGACAGACAGACAGGCAGACAGAGACAGACCTGAGTCACAGTCCTCCTTTCCTTCCTTGTTATTCCAGGGCACCCTCCTGCCCCTGTTCTACCCCCAAGCACCGCTGCTCCAAGGCCCAGCAGCATCTCTGCAGGCTCCGAGGCTGAGGACTGGGGCCTCCAGAAACTGCAGTCCTCTTCCTCCACCTTCCTCTCCCCAGGTAAAAAGAACCTGGGTGTTGGGCTTGATAGGCCTGAGGAAAAGGTCACCATGACTGTTAACATGGCTGTAGACTGCTACTGGCCTCTGCCTCTCACTGGCATCTTTATGAAGCTTTTCCAGGCTCCCAGACCTATTCTGAGCTAGAGTTCCTCCCGGTTCCAGTCCCTGCTTCCTTCAAGCCACCACTGCCATCTTCAGCCCCTTCCTCTACCAAGGTAGGTGTCCTTTAACCCCCAGGGAAAATTCCAGACAAGGAGGAAGAAACTCAGCCTTTGGTGTACCACAGAGCCCACAACAGCACAGCCAGGTCATCTGAGAGACAAGCAGGGTTGAGGGGAGCTTGCAGCCTGGACCAAGGGGAATAGACAGGGTCCTCACCTGATCCATGGTCTCTTCCAACAGCCAAGCTCAGAGAGCCCAGTGTCTGGCCTCCAAAGGACACATCCCTCCCCATTTTGCTGGCCCTTCTGTGAGATTTCTCAAGGCACCTGCAACTTCTCTGAAGAGCTCAGGATTGGAGAGGGTGGTTTTGGGTGCGTGTACCGGGCAGTAATGAGAAATACCACATATGCTGTGAAGAGACTGAAGGAGGTAAGTGTAACAGTGGGGTAGCCACCTTGAAAACAATCCATTAATCCTTGTTTGTCCAGTTTCTCCCTCCATCCACCCTCACTTCTGCAGTCCCTTGCCTCCAGCCTCCCCAAGCAATTCCTTCAGTCCTCTGATTCCAGTTCAAGGACCCCAAGCCTTCCATTGTTATGGGCCTGGAAACAGCTGGCAAGCTTGGCTCATGCTGCCTCCTTTCCCTGCCTCTTACCCCATCGTGTCTGGGGCTGCAGGAGGCTGACCTAGAGTGGACTGTGGTGAAACAGAGCTTCCTAACAGAGGTGGAGCAGCTGTCAAGGTGAGCCTTGGGGGTCCCTCCGGTCTGGGGACAAAAGGAGAGAGCCACACCGGGGCCTTATCTGTCTCTAGAACTGCACAGCACAACACCTGGCTCCCTTGGGCCCTCAAGGCCTTGCCAGGCCCAGGTGAGGGAACATCAAAGGCTGCCCACCCAGCCTGGCCTAATGAAAAGACAACTAAAGAACTCAGACTCTGCCCAGTGGTGGTGGCACACGCCTTTAATCCCAGCACTCGGGAGGCAGAGGCAGGCAGATCTCTGTGAGTTTGAGGTCAGCCTGGTCTACACAGTGAGATTCAGGACAGCCAATGCTACACAGACAAATCCTGTCTTGGAAAAACAACAACAAAAGAGAACTCAGACTCCACTCCTCATAACAGGTTTCGTCACCCAAATATCGTAGACTTTGCTGGCTACTGTGCAGAAAGTGGCTTCTACTGCCTTGTTTATGGCTTCCTGCCCAATGGCTCCTTGGAGGATCAACTCCACCTTCAGGTAGTCCCA